ACTGGGGAGCAGGCACAGAATCTACCTTAGAGAAACAATGAAGTGGTTAAATTGCCTTAACATGCCTGGGACTTATCTTTTCAGGAGAACATTCCACCCACCTCCTCTTTCTCTTTCTCTTCCTCCTCCTTCTTTTTGAAATTTGTGCCTAAGGTTTTCCCCATGAGATAGAGGGATTAAATTTTGATTTTTATGCTTTTCTGCCCGCCTCCCCCCCCCCCCCAAACTGTGCTGCTTTATTTCTGGTACAAAGCAATAGAGTCAGCCTATCATGTACTGAGACTTCTACTATCATGAACCGAATAAGCTTCTCCTCCTTTAAGCAGTTCTTGCCAGGTATTTTGGTCACAGTGGTGGAAAACTGACTATTACAGAGGGAATATAATATTTATATCTACCCGTCTATATCTATATCCTGGAGATTGAAGCCAGGAGTGCTTTATCACTGAGTCACATCCCCAGCTCTTTTTATTTTTTTATTTTGAGACAAGGTGTCACTAGGTTGCTTAAGGCCTCACTAAGTTACTGAAGCCAGCTTAGATTCTCTGGCTTAGCCTCTCAAATTTCTGGGATTATAGGTGTGTGCTACCATGTACTGCTGAGAATATCACATTTTCAAAAGTAGACATATGGTCATCATATTTCTACATAGTGTTAGTCTGGAAACTAAATAAATAAAACTCCTCGATTTTGGCTCTTCTAGGATACAGTGAAACATCCTTTGTGATTATGAGCAACTGGTTGAAGACTGGATTAGTTTTTAATCTCTGTTACTTGATGGATGAAAAATGAATTTCACAGGCAAGAACTCATCATTTGGACGAGACATTAACAGGTGGATGGTTATTGATTGTATGAAGCAATTTACAAGGAACTTCAGTACATGCCTGACATTGTGGACTAACCCTTGCCATGTCTGTTTTCTCATAATTAATATAAATTTTATAGTGTAGTTTGTGGTGTTCATAATAAAATTGAGCATGTTTATATAAGCACATTAAGATAAAATTGAATCTGGAAGACAGAGGATTTTAATAAATTAATTATAATTTTGTTTAAAAAATTAAAAATAAAGTAGTCACTCTAACGATAAAGTTGCTATTTTGCAGGACAATTCTCCACACACCATTCATATTTCTGCATGTCTCAGGAGTGAGGAAGTCACTGCTGTGCATTCCGGATTATTTTCCTCAATATTTGTGTTGTGAATAGCCTTGGAATCTAGACCTTATATCCTTCTGCCAGGCATGCTTACTTTCCAGCATAAAAATATTGGCTTCCCTAAATTTGGAGTTCTTCTACCACAACACAACTGCTGCATGCAGGTGCTGCCTGGCTGTCTTTGCCTCACCTGTCAAGAATGGACCACTGGGGAGCTTCCCCAGGAAATGCTGATGTTCTGCTCAATCCTATTGCCATGAACAATACACTATCCTTTGTATTCTACCAGTGTGGTCACAATGCATTTGGCAGGCTAAATTGTTAGCTTTAGAGTAGAGTGAATTTCCAGATCCCTCTTTTTCTAGAAAGTTAATGCATTTCAGATTCTTATTCTCCAATCCATAGACTTTGTGTATTCTACCACAAAATATGAAACATTTCAAACTTCTCAGCATTAATAGGGTAAAACTCTTTTTAAGTTGTGAATGAAATAACACAAAGAAAAACTATATATGCTATTTCTTGTGTCCTTTCTGTGATTGTGAGTGAATGTGATGCCTCTGATATCTCAAAATTTTATTTCACAATTTTTACAACTTTTTAATGAGAGATAATAAATTACAAGAGTACATTCAAAGCAACAGATTTGACAAATTGTGAAAGCTCACCATCATTCACAGTTCATTTCTTCTCTGAACACTTAACTCATCTATGCACCATAAAGAAATGTTTTGCTTTCTTTTTGCAATAAAATTTATTGAGGGATAATTTCTGTGTCATAAACTGTACTTTATTGCACTGTAATAAAGTGTACACAATTCAATGAGCATGGACAATGGAATAGGCCAGTTAAGACCATGACTACCACCTAGATACTAAATCTTTCCATCATCCCCAAAGGATTTCATGTATTGATTTGATGCTAAATGAATTTTGAAAATGGGCCCTTATATTGGGACATTTGAGAATAATTTCTGTGGAGAAGTTTTTGCCACTTTCCTATTTTAGTTATTTTTTCAGTCATCTTAGACCTTTGTGTTGTCAGCTTTCTGTCACTGTGACAAATACCTAAGCTAATTAAGCTGCGGGCTTTGGATGTTTTAGCCTAGGATCAATTGCCCCTCTTGCTTTGAGTCTGCAGCGCCACTTCATGGTCTGAGTGCATGGCAGAGCAAAACCACTCGCTTCCTGTTTGGGAAATGAGAGGGAAAAAAAAGGCAAGTGGTGGAGGTCCACAAAGAACTTTGTGGGCACTCTCTCCACCTCTTAAGTTTTCACTGCCTCCAGTTGTGCCCCAAGGGTGACCGAGCCTTTATGACATGAGCCTTTGGGGGAAGGTTAAGATGCAAACAAGAGCAACACCAATATTTTTTTTTTCTCTTGGTTCTTTTTTTGAGTTCTGTTTTTCTTCTAAAGCTCCTCTGTCTAGACTTTTCTTCTCTTTCCATACCCCTTGGAGCAGAAAGACTGAGAATTATTGTCATGAGCTCATAAAAATGGAATAAATAGTATGAAGTTGAAACATATCAAGAATAAGTTGTCTTGCAGAAAAAAAGTTACAGGAAAATTGAGATCGCTGGTAGAGTTTAGAAATCTAAACAATGAAAATGATAATAATAATTATTATTATTTTATTCATATATGACAGAGGAATGCATTACAATTCTTATACATATAGAGCACAATTTTTCATATCTCTGGTTGTACACAAAGTATATTCACACCAATTCTTGTCTTCATACCTGTACTTTGGATAATATGATCATCACATTCCACCATCATTAATTACCATGCCCCTTCCCTTCCCCTCCAACCCCTCTGCCCTATCTAGAGTTCATCTGTTCCTCCAATGCTTCCACTTCCTATCCCACTAGGAATCAGCCTCCTTATATCAAAGAAAACATTCAGCATTTGGTTTTTGGGGATTGGCTAACTTCACTTAGCCTTATCTTCTCTAACTGCATCCATTTACCTGGAATTAAATGATGAATTATATATAAAATGTATTATTTATTCACAATAATCATGTATGATTTTAGGATTTTTCCTTCTCTCAAAAATTGATGCGTTTAATTTTTTTTTAGTTATAGATGGGCATAATACCTTCATTTTATTTATTTATTTATTTATTTGTTTTTAATGTGGTGCTGAGAATCAAACCCAGCGCTCCACATGTGCTAGGTGAACGCTCTACCACTGAGCCACAACCCCAGCCCAATGGATGCCTTCTCAAAGGAAGCATTTGTTTTTGCCTGGATCTATACAATCACAACTTTTAAAATTCAAGGATGGATTTTGAATAGTATATTTCTCTTAGCAGCCTAAAATGAGTCACATTTGTCTCAAGACCTTTCAAAGGCCGAAATGAGCAGAAATCAAGAAGCAACTTTCCCAAAGCACCTGCTCTCTGTGAAGGGCAAGACACTTACATGCTGCAATTCTAAATATGAAATCATGTTAAATAATGTCTTTGGTTAGAGTTTCCATATATTATATGACTTGCAATTATAAAACAGGAAGGAACCTTCTCTCTTCTCACATCAGTTGGGAGGGTAAACTCATTTGTTTGGAGTTTGCGTGAAAGTGTCTTCTGTGTGCTCTACCTAAACAGAGGAAATGGCCTAAATGATTTGGAAAAGTATAAAATGGAAAACTGAGTCAGATACCAGGGATTTTTCATCACTCCTTCTCCAGCCTCTCCCTTCCTATTGGTGATATATAACCATAAAATGTGGGGTAAGGTAAAACATGTTCCTCTGATGAGTCTGTAGTCTATCACTTTCCTATTGTAGCTGGAAGTGCTCAGGTAACCTACAGGAGGTCATTCTATCCTTGTGTGTCTGTGTCTTCCATATAATTTTTGCACCCATGCCCTTTTGTTAAAACGGAGTGATCAAAATATCAAAATAAAAATAATAATTTAAAAAAATTGATTAATTTTAGAACAGTTTAAGTTCACAGAAATATTGAGAGGTAGGCACAGAGATTTCTATATTCCCTCTGAGCCTCACAGGCATGGTTTCCTCAGTATCAACATCTTGCACCACAGGGGAAGATAGTTAAATTGATAGGCTGACACATCATTATCCCCTGAAGTCCAGTGTTTACATTAGAGTTGACTCTTGGTGCTTTAGATTCTACGAATGTGGACAAATATATAAATATATGTCTGTAGAACAATGAACATCTTAAATCCACATGCCACCATTGCTTTTCAGCATTAAATATGAAGCAATTATTGTGCAGGTTTTTTTTTCAAAAGTAGTCTAAGGAGTATTTATGTAATCAGAATTTAAGGGGGAGGGAGGCTCAGGAGACCTGCTTCACGTGTACATACACAAGCATATCTAGAACTTTTATTGTGCTTAAGAACATTATTTGTTTAGATGCTGAATGTCTAGATATTATACTATAGATGAAACTGTAATTAGGAAGCACTTGGCTTTAGGTAGAGTGGAGTGGCATGGGATCTCCTTGTTAGGATTAGATCAACTCGTGGGGTGTCAAACTCTTACAGTGAATATCTTTTTGGGATCGTCCACCTGGTGGGGGAAATTTTCAAAGTTGTACTAAGGTGCAGCATCTCAGGGGAGGGTGTGTCCGTCACATCATTACATCACATCATCACATATACTAACATCTAAGGTATTTCATTTCTGATTTTTTACAACAGAGGCATTGTTATCATTTTTTTTCATACTTCAGATCCCTGTTAAACATTGTACCTGGTCAGTATTGTTCAAGTATGGGTGTTTTGCGACAACAGAAAAGCATTTTTTTTTTTGTTTTAATTTTTTTGGTCTTTTAATTTTTTTGTTTGCTTGTTTTCACTACTGTAGTGGTTCCAAGACACACTGGGCCAAAAAGAAGGGTGAAGTTGAAATAGAGAAGTGCCAAGTAGGTTGTTCACTCCATTGAGAAAGCCCAGAAAGCAAAGATCAAGACATACTGAAAAGTTGAAGTGGGGAGTTGGAGCCCAGGTGGAAAAGATGCAGCTAGCTGGGTTGCAGGTAAGTTAAAGAGAGAAACTTTGCCCTGGTTTCCCTTTTCATGTACAACTAAAATACACACTTGGAATACCAAAGGGATATTAGGATGAAAAGGCTGGTTTTGAGATTCAGACCAGGTCAAAATTTCCAGCCCAGAGAAATGAGTTGGTCAAAGAGGAATTGATGTGCATAATAGATCTGGGCAGGAAAGCAGGCTAGAGGAGAAGCCTAGAGAATCAAAAGACTACAACATACGGGTCTGGAAGGAAAAGATCAACAACAACCCTGAATGAAGATTCTAGGAAAGGTTCTTTAGTCTCTTGGTACAAGGACTGAGTCACTGGGCACCAGAAATGAGAATGATGCTTGATTTCAAAGCCTAAACCAAATGCCACAAAGTCTCTTTTATATGTGTGCACAAAGTGATTTGCCTGCCACTTCAAGACAGATTGCACGTGCAGTTTGCAGAAAGTTAAATTCCATCCAACGAAACGTTTGGACAAATGTGGGAAAATAAGTTTCTGGAGCTAGTTCAACTAGAATACATTTGTAATTATAAAGCAAAACCAAAGGGACACCGTTCCAGTAGGTGATAACTCCCAGGTAAGAGAAAGTTGCAATCTCTTCAAAGCATCATTCCTTTACATCAAAGCCTAGGAACATGTTCTTGCCAATTTACTCATTAGCTCATTTATTCATTCATCAAATATTCATTAAATTGTCTACTCTATGTCAATGGGCTTAACATCTTGTAAAATTAACTTTAATTACTTACCTTCATCATTTGTCTGTTTTGCTTTTTAATAGTGGAAAGTCAATTCTCTCTCATAATATTAGCAATTAAAGACGGAATCACTGTTTAGGCAAGTTCAAACTCTGAGGAATTATGAAATTTACCAGAAGACATTGATGACAATAGAGAGAAACGGAGTAAGATAATAAGAGCCTGAGGTGATGGTTCATGCCTAAAAAATTAATTTGAGCACATATTCACTGAGTCACTTGGCTCTGAGAATGGCAAGGCTCGCATTTGCATGGACACTGTGATTAATTGAGGAGTCATATAGAAGCTGGTGAAAGCCCTTAAATCTCACCTAGCATGCTTCCTTACACTTAAGGATTGTATGAAAAGATATCAAATTGGGCTTCCTCTACATTTATTATTTGAGAAAATTTCAGCAGGCAGTACTAAGAATAGAGAATGAAATGTCTCCGCACCCTCCCTCCGCTTTGGGCACTGGCTCAAGTGGTTTGCCAGAAATAAAGTTTAAAAGGCTTTCCCTACTGCCATATTTGTCCCTTGTGGTTTGTTGAGCCAGCCATTGTATCTTCTGAAAGAATGACTGTTTTTATTTAGTTCTGTTTTTAACACAATGGCAGTGTAAGCATGGGATATGTTTGGAATAGCGGGGACTAAGCAAAGAACACAGGAACGCTCTTCTCCAAACTATAGAACAAAGATAATTATTGGCAATAAGCACTGCACAGAGAAGTCCAGGATGGGAAGTGAGTGTAGGATTGTTGCAGTGCCTGTTTTTCCTAGGTTAAATGGTCAGGATAGTCCTATTTATAAAATCCCAGTGTCTTTCCATTTAGCCTTCTATACCTTAACCAAGTTCAGTTCAGCAGGGTCTCTTTTATTAAAAGTTATTTCTATTTTATTTCTGTATTTGTCCTTTTTAGATATACATGACAGTAGAATGTATTTTGACCTACCCTACCTACATGGAGTATAACTCTTCATTCTTATGGTTGTATATGATGTGGAGTCTCACTGGTCATGTGTTCGCATATGAACACAGGGAAGTTATGTCTGATTCATTCTACTGTCTTTCCTATTCCCATCTCCCCTCCCTTTCCTTCATTTCCCTTTCTCTCATCTACTGAACTTCTATTCTTCCCTCTCCCACCCCAATTGTGCGTTAGCATCTACATAGCAGAGAAAACATCAGAGAGATGTTCTAGCCTTTGTCTTTGGGTTTGGGGGATGGCTTATTTCACTTAGCACAATAGTCTCCAGTTCCATACATTGCTGGGGGGGGGCCTGCAAATTTGTGCATCCAGTATGGAAAGCAATAGGGAGATTCCTAAGAAAACTTGGCATGGAACTATTATTTGACTCAGCTATTCCACTCTTTGGTCTATGCCTAAAGAACTTAAAATCAGCATACTACAGTGATGCAGCCATATCAATGTTTATAGCAGCTCAATTTACAGTAGCTAAACTGTGGAACCAACCTAGGTGCCCATCAACAAATAGATGGATAAAGAAATTGTGCTATATATACACAATGGAATATTACTCAGCCTTAAAGAGAAGAATGAAATGATAGCATTTGTCAGTAAATGGATGGAACTAGAACAGTGTCTCTTTTTGATGGGTGATTTCCTAGCTAAATGAGACTCAATGACTTTCTAAGAGTGGAGAAGAGGAAACCAGCAAAGGAAAAAAAGTGTAAGAATACAAATGCTATAAGAAATTTGTAAGAAATATTGTCTTTATTCTCTTAATTGTTAATGTCCTTTCTTTTTCATGTAATCCTTTCGTGATTTCTAGGACCAAATGCATGCTAAGGTTATGTGGTTAAGAATAAACTCTATGCTCCTGGAATGGATTCATGCTGTGGCACATTTAAGATCTGCAAATTCTACTACAGCTTGGTTAAGGGAAGAGCAGGCTGAAATGAGAATTTACCCAGGGAATGATTGTGCCTTTCATTCCAAGCAAGGAGCACAGGAGAATGAGACGAGAGACAGAAAGCCGTGATCTCTCAGCTTCAGCTCCTGGATGTCACTCATAACACAGATACCTCATGTGCTGAGATTCTGATGTCATTTAGAATGACCAAGCCTTATTTGGTCCTTATATCCAAATACTTATCATTTCATTTGCTTTTGGTTTTTCTTCCTGCAGGTTTGACTCATTTCCTCTAGCCAGAAGAACTTCCTTCAGCATCTCTTATAATGAAGTTTTGCTTGCAATAAATTCTCTCAGTTTTTGTTTAAAATTAGCCTTGATTTATATTCATTTCTGCAAAATTAAAAGCAACAGGCTTTTCATTTAGCATTTTAAAGATATAATTCCATTATCTTTTATCTTCCTTATTCTCATGGGATGTCATCTGAAAGTAAAGTGTCTTTTTTTCCTCTGATTATTTTCAATATTTTTCTTTTTTTAAAATTTGTTTTAATTAGTTACACATGACAGTACAATGACCTTGACATATCATACATTTGAATCACATGGGATTCAGTATCTCATTTTTCTGAGTATAAGTTTGCAGAGGAGGGGGTGGGGAGATAGGCAGGATAATAGAAATATTTTTATTTTTAATTATTAACTGTTAACCTGGTTTGCCATAGGTGCCTAGATGGATATAGTTTGCCATGCTTGAGTTTTATAACTTTTTAAAGGATCTTTGGTATATTTTTTATCAGTTTTGGAAATGTTTCTCCAAGTATTTCTTCTTCCTAATTTATCTCCTTCTGACTTTAGTTACACATAACTAATCACAAAATATTGTCCCACAGATCTCATATGCTCTATTATGGGCTTTTATTTTATTTTTCTGTATTTTTGTCCTGAGTTGATTAATTAGTTCTTCTATAGTTCTAATCTGATGTTAAACTGATTTAATGAAATTTTATTTATAATATTGTACTTTTAGTTACACAATTTCTACATTTTTTCCTTATTGGTTTCTATTTATATCCTGAGATTTCACATTTGTTTATCTATTTTGTCCACTTTTTCCCTCTAAATTCATCGGAATTCAATTAGATGTTTTAGAGTCTTTGCTGATTTTAACATCTAAATTTTCTTGGTTTTGCTACTATTGACTAATTTCAGAGCTACTTGTCTTATTTTCATTTATTTATTTATTTTTGATATGTCTAGTAATTTTCAATTAGAAGCTAAACATTTGTGGGAAAACCTTCTGGATAATGTTATCTTTTTCTAAAGAGTGTTAAATTTTGTTTTGGAAAAACATTAAATTAATAGCATACTCTTGATGTTTTGAAGGCTTGATTTTTTGTTTGTTTGTTTGTTTTTGGATGAGCGTCTAATTTTAGTTTTTCTCTTGGACCTGTGCCATACACTATGTGTTATGTATTTCTTACTCCTAAAGTGAGGTCATTCTAAAGTTTTAATGAAAATTAAAGATATCCTCAGGAAGCTGAGGCAGGAGGATTGCTCATTTGAGGCCAGACTCATCAAGCCCTAAGCAACTTTGTGAGATCCTGTCTCAAAATAAATACAAACAAAACGAAACAATGGGGATGTAGTGGAAAAGTGTCCCTGGATTCAATTTACAGTACTAGGGTGAGGGTGAGGGTGTAGAAAAAGAAAAGAGAGCAAAGGGTACTTATTAAGTACCTCTAATCTAGCTAGTTAGACTTGAACTATCCACTGTCCCACCACGAGGTAGCTGCTGAGATATTTTTGTGGTTCTTAATCCTGGAGTGCTGCTTTCTGTAAGGTTCCTTGGATTCTTACTAAACAGTTGTAGAGTTTATGTAAAAAGATGTATATAGTTTATGTAAGGATTTGAGGAGAATTGATATGCAGGTTAGAGGTTATCTCCTTTGTTTTCTGTGTTTTATTTCTGCCTTTTTTCTTTCAATTTCCTGTTATGTTACAAAATTTGAACCCCTACATTTGTGTCCTCTTCCCCAAAGGACACTGTTTCCTGGTTCACATGAGTTTCTCCTTGCATGGAGATAGGCCTGAGCCGTTGTCAGGAGAAAGGTCAATGAATTACAGAGCTCACCTAGCATGCTTTGCTTCACTTAACAATTATATCTTTTTTTAGTTTCTGCCTGCCTTGGATTTTACACCAATGACTTTAAACAATGGTTTTCTTATATTTTTCTAGATTTATAATTATCATTGTAAGAGGTTTATTCTGATAAAAGCTATTCAGTGCAAATGGAAACAGAACTTCTGAATGAACTAATAGCCAATATGAACTGACTTTTGTCATAAGCCATGTAAAAGATTCACATATACCCAAACCAGTCCAATATCCACTATAGGCATCATCATTTTGCTGAATAAGAAACTGAGGTACAGAGTAACAAAGAAATGTGCCCATGTTTATAAAGTAAGGGATAGCTGCAGGATTCATGGTCACATATATTGAACATAAAGATTGTAGCTATGCCAGTGATTTTCAGACTTGGCTGCACAATGATTTTTTGTTTTTTGGAGAATTTGAAAAATATAAATGTCTCAACTCCAATTATTATTTTTTTGGCACTGGGGATTGAATCAGGAACACTTTGCCCCTGAGCTACATCTTCAGCCCTTTTTACTTTTTATTTTGAGGCATGATCTCACTCAGTTGGTTAGGGCCTTGCCAAATGACTGAGGCTGGCCTCAAATTGTGATCTTCCTTCTTCATCCTCCCAAATTGTTGGGATTACAGGTGTGCTCCACAGCACTTGGCTTCCACTAACTTTTAAAAGTAACAATTCTTAAATATGACTTAGCCGTTACATTTTTTAAAAGTCCCTCAGATGTTTCAAAGATGCAACTTGAATTGAGAGCTTCTATGCTAGGCTATGTTTCTGGGACATTGACTAAGTCTTATAACTAGGTCAGTTAAGAGTGATTTTCTTTTTTATTTCTGAATAATTAAAGGATGGAAAGATGATTCATATATTTACTATTCTGATTAACAGCGAAGGAAGGATTTCTTGAACATCTCTGATGAATTTTTAAGTGTCAAACCCTTCTTAAAGGTTCTGGTTACTGTGATCTAGATGAGCAATGCTGTTTATGAATATAATAAGTATTCATATTTAGCCTATCAGAAGAGATTTCTGCTTGCTCACTTGTTTTGTGATTGAGAATAGGTAACTTTCCAAGAGCTATCAGAATACCTTAATCAGTATTTGTTAATCATTATGAGGAAATTGAATGGCTAATGATTAGAAAGAAAGCTGTCAGTTCCATGGAAGTAATTCTGGATGCCTTATTCTCAGTTGCAGATATGAACTCCTTCATGCAGAGAGTGGAATAAAGAACAACACATTGTGGAGGATGATAAGTTTCAACAGAACCCAGGGGCCTCAGCTTCAGTTCCAGATATTATCCTGGTTTGTGTGACCTGAGAGAGTCTCTCAACCTCTCTGGCCCTCAGTGTTCTACAATGTAAAGATAAATGTTGGGATTGAAGTTCTTGTTTCCAAAGCAATATACATAATCAAATTAATTTCCTGCTTGACATATCCTTCATTTGCCTGCTGTCCAAGAGAAGAGAACACTTATGAGGTTAAGGCATATATGCAAACATCAAAAGTAAAATTATCCCATTTGTACATGTTTCAAGTTACACCTCTGTCTGTGAGTGAACCTTGCTCTAAACCAATGGTTTGGAATTAAAGTAGAGACTGCTAAAAGCTCAGTTCATCAGAAATGATTCCAAACAGAGGAAACTTGATGTAGGCAGAGGAAATGAAGAACGGTGGTAAAATTTAACAAATATCTAACGAGTTACTTCTAGTCCTCTGGGTCAGGAAGTAACCAAACACAGCATTGTTGGGAGTCCCATGATGCCCGGTCATGCTTTCAGCTGGCAGGAGAAGTTGGCATCAGTGGTTGCCCGCATTCAAGCCCTTTCCAGAATGGTAGCCCTGTGATTTGCTTTAGTCAGGGTTGCTATTCTTGCTGGGGTAGCTATGGCTGTGATAGAAAGGTAATAAACCCACCAAGAAAGGCTCATTTGTGTTGGCTGGCTACAGCATAGAATTTGAGAACAATAGGTGGGATAATAACGTGGTGTTTAGAAGCGGTTTTGCTTTGACCTGGGTATCATTCATAGGTTGAACAGAAAGCTATTTTCACTGGTAGTTAAACATTTGGCAATTGCTGATCAGTAACAATGTACTGGATGTCCTACTAAAGTAGCATGGTCCAGTGGGCAGAACATCGATTGAACTAGAATGTAAAAATATTTGTACTTAAGTGTGTCTGTTTTGCTATTGATTGTTCTTGTGGCTTGGACTCATTCAGCAACACCTTGACATGTGTATGCGTGTGTCCGTATTGGTTTGCTTTGGGTGCAGAGAAGGAAAACAGTGTGTCCTTGGTGAGAAACATTTAAACATTTAAAGGAATAAAACCAGAATGCTAATAAAAAACCAGAAAAGAATCAAACTATGAAGAATGATATGAGAAAGATGAATGTCAGCATTTGTTTATGTGAACATACTTTTTTTTTTTTTTTAGTTAATTCTTTTTTTTTTATTTTTAATATTTAATTTTTAGTTCTCAGTGGGCACAACATCTTTGTTGGTATGTGGTGCTGAGGATCAAACCCGGGCCGCACGCATGCCAGGCGAGCGCGCTACCGCTTGAGCCACATCCCCAGCCCTATGTGAACATACTTAAGACAATATTTGAGGTACTTGTGTCCCCTGTTTGAGGAACATCAATAGAATAAAAAGATAAAAGGTTGTTGACTCAAATTTGTTAAGCGTATTGTATTTTGCTTTACTTTTTATAATCTTTGGATAACATTGTGTGGTTTTAATTATGCAAGTACTCAGTTCTCTTGGGTGTAATTCCAGATTGTCAGTTCCTAGTAGAAATTTGAGGCTGCATTCCATTCTTTGAACAAGTTCTCAAATATATCAGAACTCCATATATTATATCTCCCCACCACCTCTTTTTGGCATGAGTGCAAGTGATCTGGCAGGAATCTTTATCTTCTCTCTCTCTCTCTCTCTCTCTCTCTCTCTCTCTGTGTGTGTGTGTGTGTGTATGATAATTTATATGTAGGCAGAATTTTTTATGTAACTTCATTTTAGTAAGAAATACAGATATCCAGGTTAAACTGTAACACAGGCAATGTGGGGAGTAGCATGATTAGATGGTAATAATTTCAAGATCCTTCTGATGAGCGGCATTTAAAAATGCTGTGTTGATGTAATCCTGTTAATGCCTTTCTACAAACTAGAGAAATTATCTTCAGTGAGGACTAAGCCTATAGATCCCTTTCTTGCCTGCTTGCAAAAGGGGTCTGAGGTTTTAAACTTTTATACTGTTGGCTCACAGAACCTGGGAGCGGGAGTGGCAGGGAGAGGTGGGGGATGCAACCTCAAAGGCAGATAGTCAGAACTAAGCACTGTACCAGGAAAAGACAGAAGACGCAAGATCATACTAGTGGAACTCCCACCTCAATCCACTTCTAGGAAACTAGAGCAGGCTGAGTGGAGCGATTCCTTTACAGGTAAAGATTCAACATTTTAATGGACTTTGGGAAAATATATAATTAGCAATCAAATTTTCTACCAGAAATTAAAAACAGAAAAAAACCCCTGTAACATAGTAAAAGAACAATCTGGATTTTTGAGGACAGATTTTGTGAGACAGGGAATCCATGAGACACATAAAAGGGAGAATGAAGAAGCAGTAAAAGAAGCTATATTGAGAATGTTAGCTCTGAGGCTTATATAGAATTCACTGTACGTTGGGCCCAGATCTAAGCTGTCCATCTCATCTGATGCATGTGTGTGTCTTCCCACATTGTACTTTTGGGGGGTTCAGCTATCTGGAGGCACCTCGATAGAAAGTTAAAAGTCTCAGCTGTGCACAAACGCCACGTCCTGCCTCCTCTACCCATCACCTGCCTCTAGGAACATTTCTTAAACTCCCTGGGTCTTAGGTTATTCAACTATAAAATGTCAACACTACCGAACCTCCCTCATGCGTGTTTATGAGTACTAAGTGAGACAGTTCATAGCAGGCAGGAGGAGATGCTCAGTCAGTGTTCACTGTTAAGAGGGTGGTGCCCTCCAGAGAAACAGAGGCATAAAGATCTTGGTTTTGAAGTGTCTGGGCCCTGGCGAGCCAGGAGATTTCTCATGATGATGTGTCAATTGGCTAGCAGACAAAAGAATACAGGCAACTGACCTTTCTTAGGTAGAAATGAGAAATTGACAATTTGGAGAGTTTTCGAGAAATGTTGAGGATATATATTCCAACTTCTGAATTTTAGGCTCCACAGAATTTATTCCTTTTTCTTCCTTTTTAAATTTTTGTTAGGGGCATTTCGATTTTTGGCTCCTGGAGACTGAGTGCCCTGAGGCAAAGCCCCGTCTGCCTCTTGGTTTTGTCCGTCCCTGCACTTGGTGGAACAGCTACAGTGCCAAGATAGAAATATATTTTGATCACAATAATGTTCCAAACAGAGCTTTTTTACCCTCTGGTGTTTATTTTAGAGTGCTATATTTTGGTGGTCAAATAAATACAGAAGCTTTTATTGTTTTCTCTACCTGTACCTAAAAATTTCTTTCTTTTTTTTTTCTTTTTTAAACTTATAGTATTTGGAAGATGACTAAAAGTTTAACTAAGATGGCTCTATTACACTTGTTAAACACACTCATTTTTTAGAAAGTTAATGTAAGCTTAATTGGATACAAACATTAAAATATTATTGCATGTGATAACAGTCAATTGCCTTCTAATTAAGTTATGTCATTATATATTATGTAACATATATTAAAAATAGTATTATTTATTAATATATGCTATTATTCATAGAATCATGTATATGCTAGCATAATACTATAGTATATTATATAATACTTGGCAACTTGAATGCTTTTGGGATAGAGGAAGTATAGAGGAAAGGGATGGAATGACATATGCACCTATATACGTGTATTTCTATATGTTTGTTTATATTAGTTTATACATGTTAATTTGTTATGACTTCTGTATGCTAGTATCTGTCATTTATCCCTTTACCTATATTTAGCTTGCTAATAATGATGCCTATTCCATTTTAGATCAGAGTCTTTATTAATTCTGTTGCTAATGAGGTCTTGCTGTCCTCTGATACTCATCCACAGGCTTCCTTCCAGGTTCTGTTATTTCCTGTCACCATCTCTAATTATTTGGGAGATGTGCTATGACTCAATGCCCCTCATTTCACTTTGAGAGGTCCTGTCTTTGCTAGTTGCTGTGGTGTTTTGCCTTGTGTCTATTACCACACTGAGATGTGGGGAGGTTTGTTCCACCCCCTTTTAGGAAGAGTAACCTCTGATAATTTTCAATCAACATGCACTCTCTCCTTGAAGAAAAGCCTGAATGGATGCCATGTTTGAGCAGGGTTGGTTTCAAGAATGTTTCATCTGTGGAGATGCTCAGGGTCCCATGTTCAGAAGGGCCCAATGCTTGATTTAATTCTCTGCTATCTCGATATTCTTAATAATTTTGAACTAGAAGCTCCCATTTTCATTTTTTCACTGGGTCCTGAAAATTATAGAGACAGTGCCATTTCTGAATGCCATTAGGGACTTCTTAGCATCATGTAACAAATATGTAACTCAAATACTGATGCTTTACCTTGTGCAAGTTAATTCTCGAAGGAGTCCTCTTAGAGTCTATCATTTTATGATGAGATGCACTAACTCTCTTTAATTCTAAGGTAGCAGACACAAGTATGTTACGTAGGGGATCAGCCTTGACAGAAACCTATTAGAGGAAGGAAACACAGGCACTGAGTGAGTCTCGTATTACCACATGCTAGGTGGCTTGAAACACTATTTGTTTTCTCCTAAGCTGGAGACCAGAAGTCTGAACTCCAAGTATCAGCAGAGCCACCCTGGCCCTAGGGATGAAGGGCAGCCTTGCCTCTTGTAGCTTCTGATGGCTGCAGATATTCCTTATCTTGTGGCTGTATCTCTCTGCTCCAGCTGAATATCACCTGCTCTTCTTACATGTAGCTCTCCTGTGTGTCTGTCCCAAAGCCTCTTTTAAGGATACATGTGACTGCAATTAGGGCTGAACTTGATGTTGCAGGGTGTGCTCCTCTTTGCAAAATCTTCAATACATTCGCACATTTTATCCTATAAGTGACATTCATTCTTTTACCATATAAAGTAACATTCACTAGTTCAGGGTATTAGGATGTAGACATATATTCTTGGGGGTCACCATTCAGCCAACTATAGGTACCTGTATCAACAGGAGCAAGGGAAGTGTCCAAGCTGGCACCATGTGAGAAAGTGTGCAGGGCACACGCAGCACACCTTTGGTTTTAAAATAGGCATTCTTCAAAGCAAAAGCCCAAAGCTGTCACCTTTAAAAAGCTGATTCAGAGATACATATTTTGGGGAGTTAAAAGTTTATGTGGTATGCTCTTTTTTCCTGCTATTTTTGCTATTTTAAAAAATGTCATTGGCCCTAAATATTATTACATTTTCCCAGCCTGTTCATTGGTTCAAAGGCTCTTATACAGATTTTTACATGACAGTTCACATAAACACTCTTGAACCATTGGGAAAGCTCTACACACAATCAATGCTGATTAAAATTCACATATAACAAATGAAACTACCTACTGCCATTTTTAATCAGTACCTCTAAGTAAGAAACTGGGAAATGAAAATATCATGTAGTTTCTCTAGTGCCACTGAAAGGTAATGGAATTGGGTTAAATTGTTCAGTTCCTTTGAGTTGAAAATTTTGTAATTCTTTGACAAATTAAAATGTAAATTCCATGAAGGTGAGAATTAAATTTTATTATGAAACATTCAAATGTATACTAGATAAGGTACTTTCCTGTTCATCATGCAGATGCAATGGTTTAACTGTGGTCAATGCCATGAAAATCCATCTGTCTTACCAATAGACATAAATTGAGCTGTTTGGAAATAATCTAACTTCAAATTAAAAAACAAATTCTATAAGAGGAAGTCTTTTTTTGTCAGGACCTTTACCAATAAAGCCTGCAACCTGACTTTTATGTGCATAAGTGCTACAAAGTTTTGGGGAAAAATCCCAAATTAAAAATCTCCAATGTTGATGTTGGACCTACAGCATGGGGAATAGTGTTTTATTCCTTTAAGGGTGTTTCCTTGATTTTTGAAATTTTATGAACTACAAGGGAAGGGAGAAGATGGCATATCCACTAGTACTTGGGAGGTGAAATGGATGAGGGAGTAGCCCTAGGAACACTGGTACCAGTTCATGTAACTGGGGGAAAAAAAAAAAAGCTCAGTAGGAGGCCAGAAGTTTGTGGAGAGAAGAAAGACGTCCTAGAGTAGCCTGGAGATCCCGGGGCCATAGAAAGGGGATTTTTTATTTTTTTATTTTTAAGGAAGTGAGTGGTCACTTGGTTAGGTCATAAGAGTTTCAGTGGAGTGGGGAGGGCAGCAGCCAGATTCCAGGAGGCTTAGGAGTGAACAGAGGTTATGGAA